ACAATCAGTGTGCGAGAGAGCGTACAAAAATAATAAAGACAGAGGGAAAGAACTACATCGAGCGCGACCGAACAGGAGAAACACTTTTTTATTCGTACAAATAATAATATATTTTTATTATTATTACTATTTCTTTATATGTATTTTTTTGTCAAGACGAGCTGGTATGTTACATTTGATTTCAATGAGGGATCGGTTGTAATAAGATTAAGAAACCTGAAAAATTTGTGTGATTTTAAAACAAGCCTGACACTTGATATGCTACCTTTTGTCTCAGAAGCTTCCGAAACGATAACATGGCTGACTTTCTTGCCACAATTATTCTAAAGATACCCAGCAGAATTATCTTTGGTGGGCCTACTGGAGCAACTTTCTCGCCATAGACTGCAGATTCGCTTCATGAAATCTAAGTTAACAAAAAACTTATTCTTGAAAGTCTCTGATTAGAATGGAAATTGTAGGTTCCAATTCAAGGGCATGCAACTCATATGCCAAGTTCATTGGTAAGAAATAAGTCCTTGTTAGATGCTTATTACTTAATGTCTCCAAAAGCAGAAGAAGCTGTGGCCTCGTAAGGGATGGCAAAGTGAAATTAGATTCTTCTTTCCAACGCATTGGAGAATTCCCTTCCCCTCTGACTGCACTGAAAGCTAGCCAACGTAGTCGCAGTCTCTGCGTACGTTGAACTACGTCAGTGTAGTCGTTAATCTCGTACAGCCCATTGTTTCATTGGCTGCGAAGTTCACCGCTGTCAATTGGCAAAAGTCCATTAATCCGTACCAAAACTTTTCTCTAGAAAACTTCAAGGACCGACTCAACAAATGTTGACTTCGTTCAAGCATCTGCACCATATGGCAGAACGGGAATGAAAATCCCACCAAAGAACACCCCAACAGACATTTATTTGAAGCCGAACCACTGCCGAGGCACATCAGGAAGGGAGTGCTTAACTGAAGAGACTATATTCACCAGCACCACCTACAGCAACCGTTGGTCAAGAAGGCGTTGTCGGCGTCAAACCACAATCTATTGCAAGGAAGATCTCCAGCTGCCTCGAAAGTGCCGTATAATACTGGCACAACTTAGATATATCCTAGTTGACTGAACTCCTTCCTTGAACTCGACCTATTCTACGTATGTCTTGCATGCAATGAGTCCCCGCACGACACTAACCAACTCTCTGCATGCCCCCTAAAACTAACTTATTTAACCCCCTTCCCCCTGATATGAATCTGTCGAAATAACTCGTTTTCGGAACCTCCGTTAGATGACTTCGTTGACTTACACTAATCTGGCCTGCTCCTAAGTGGAGTTGGTAAACCGAATCTGCGTTAGATTTCAGTGCTGATATTTTTTTTTGGGATTCCAAGGTAGACAAGATTACATACAACTGCAAAGGATTGTCAGCAGTGCAGTGGGAGCCGAGACGCGAATATGCCAACTATGATGGCAGGAGATATTCTGCCATGTCCTTGTTTACTATCAGATCCATTCGCCTAGCTTACTTATGCAGTCTGGAGAAAGCGGATTTCACGGTGCGTTTGTTGAGGTCAGTGACATTGGGGAAGGCCTTCCAGGTCCTAATGAAGCTTTTGGCGTTGCTCACCTCTTTGGGTCCTCAATGAATAAGCTATGATCTTGAAAAGTCGCCGATGAATTTAGAGAAAACTTAATCTGCAAGTTTGAATGCTCGCTTGGCCCGTACTGGAATCTATCAACTACCGCTTGCGTCGCTACTCACTCGGCTTCAGCGGTCAGTTGTACTTTTATGCATATATAACATGAGAAGTTATTAGCTGGTCATCTCGTTTGGTGAACAAAATGAATATAACCCGCTACAGCGTACACCACTGTCGAGCAACTGAAAGCAAAGGGCCTGCTGAGCCGGCGTCAAAGCCAGCAGAGAGCTATCGATATCATACAATATTAAAATGCGCCACAACGCAGCCAATTCTGTTGGATATTGATGACTCTGGCGCGTGCTGAAGCTGATTGCGGCGTACTCGAAAAGTCCTCTCTGCCACCGTCACCGTCACCGTTAACACTCGAGTTTTATTTATCAGCAATAGCAGTACTTAGTTAACGTTAGACGACAGTTCGGTTATTGTCGTTGTTGGAGGTACAGCTTAATTTGCCACACTTGCAAATTGCATATAAATTCAAAATACACAAAATAACATATCTGGTGATGCTAAATTCCAATCGCTCGATGAATCTGTCCTTGCCATTTCTCTCTCACACTCCCTCTCTTTCTCTCTCTCTCCCTCTCTATTCACTGTTCACTTCAATTCAGTTTAACCGGAATCATTTCGAATTCACATTCACTCGATGCGCTGAAAATTCGCACAAAATCAACACAAGCCGAATCAAAATGTCCGATACTAATTTAATTTAATTTAATTTTGTTATTGTCGAACCAACTAAATGCTTGCTATGTTGCTGTCAAATTAGCATTTGTTGTTGTTGCAGCATTTCTATTACTGGCAAAGTGCGGATGATCAACGTGAACTGTCAGCGACAGTGGGTCAGATAGGGATAGGGATGGGGAGGGAAGCAGAGAGGGAGCGATGATTCTCCTCGCACCACTTGACCGCCGCCGTTTTCACAGCAAATACTGCCGTGCTAAAACGTTTCAGTATTTTGCTTCTTTACTCTGCGGCCAGTTGTTGTTGCTTCATCATTTCACTCCACGTTGCTTTGATTTTTCTCAACAGCAATCGAATATTTGATTGATAATCAGATTTGACTTTGCATATTTGAAATCCTAAAAATGTGTTGAATCGCAGCGCGGTGAGCGCAAAGAGCAAAAAGAAACTTTCAAAAAAAAAAATTAAAACTAAAATAAAGCGACAACAACAAATTACGCTGTTGAAACAAAGTAAAGCGAGGCAGCGCTGAGAGTTTGTCATTGGAATAGATTTTATATTTAAATTGGATTGTAATTTTTTTCATCTGTGCCATTGAGCTGCATATTTGCTCTAAGAGGTGAGCCGACAAGCAGTTGCAGAGATGGATGTTGGACGGTATGGATACGCCAAACGCCGACTGCTGCTCCACTTATTGACGGCAACTAACAGTTGTGAGTTTAATTTGATTAACGGAATTTCAAAGAAATATCTGAAATATTCTTGGTTTGGCTTAAAATCGATAGCAGCACAAGAAATTCAGTCAAAATTTCATCAAACGAAGTTACAGTGAAGGAAGTGGTTTCCAAAAGAGATGAAGAATTAACAGACAGTAGAGGTTCAAGAATTTTCTCGCGGTAAGTCCTGTCCATCGTTAGAGGCGACGAAAATCAAAAAGTTCTCGCGACAGTCAGGTCTTTATATCAAAAGAACTGGAATTTTTATCCAGCCAAGAATTTTCAATGCCTTTCACAATTCTCAAAAACTACTTTGGGGAAAATTTTGAAGGCTATTACAACAACAACAACAATAAGTAACAACCAGTTGAATTGGAGGCATACTGGTTTGTGGAGCCAAGCTCGAGTTTTTGGCAGAGTTGTTAGCAATGCGTACTATTATTAATTTGTCTAATTGTTGTCGCCGTCGGCAGGGAATATGGGAGCCGTGCTGAGTCCCTCCATTTGTTGGAAAAACATCAAGATGCAAAACCACAAATTGGAGGAGGATCTCGGTTCAAAAAATCGTTTCAGCGGTTACAAAGCGCCGCTTCGTAAAATCTTTCACTCGAATAAAATCTTGTTATCGTTTCTCCCACTCGTTTCCCTATCCAGTCTGGATAAAACAGAACTGATGACGTGCTTGTTGAGACCATGTTGAATATCTGATCAATGGTTGACATACCAGGGTTGAAGCCACACTGATAAGGTCCAAACAATTTGTTGACGGTGGGCTTTGGTATTGCACACAATATGCACTCTGGGACCTCATATGTGATACTGTGATACTGTGATACTCCATAAGCTAACAATACTCGGTTCACCTGTCGATGGATCACTTTTTTGGACTCTACATGAGTAAACTTCTATGTTGAAGCCTTCTGTAAACCCGTTCCGATCATTACCGCCGTTATGTCTGCAAATGGCTCTGTTGTTTGTTTGAGTGCGAATTAGGCCCTTAGTTTGTGGAATATTTCAATCACTCTTGGTTCGCTGATTTATTTATTTATTGTATTGATTATTAGTCCTTGAAGGCCCAAGAGCTTGAAGTTTGTTATACAATACAGGAGAACTCACTTAATTACGGAACTAAGGACAAGCCGAAAAACCGTTTGGAGCCATTTGCATAAGCTTGGATTCAAAAAGAGGCTCGATGCTTGGGTGCCACACATTGGAGTAATCTGCGAATCGCTGCTGAATCTCAACAAAATCAACCTGTTTCTGGAACGGATTGTGACTGGCGATCGTGATCAAAGCTCGGCGAAGCAGCTGAGACGGTAGTCAAGACCGGATTGACGGCCAGGAAGGTTTTGCTGTGTGTTTGGTGAGATTGACAAGGAATAATCTACTACGAGTTGTTCTCCTATGGCCAAATGTTCAATTCGGCCCTCTACTGCTAACAAATGGGCCGCACTCATTCAGAAAAGACCATCTTTGATCAACAGAGAGAATTGTGTTCCGTCAGGACAACGCCAGGCCAACCACGTGTTTGGTGACGCACCAGAAGCTGCAGGAGCTCGAATGGGTGGTCCTAATGCACCCACCTTATAGTCCGGACCTATCACCAAGTGACTACCATATTTTCCTGTCCATCGCAAATGCGCTTAATGGTGAGAAGTTGGCCTCAAGAGAGACCTGTGAAAACTGGTTCTCCAAGTTTTTTGCCAATAGGGCCGCAGCCTTCCACGAGAGGGTTATAATGAAGTTGGCATCTCGTTGTCAACAAGTTTCCGAACAAAACAGCGCATATCTGACTTAAATGTAAACAAAGTTATCATATTTTGAAAAATCAATAAAAAACCGAACGAATTTTTTACTTGACCTAATATTAACACCGTAAGTTAATATTCAATTCTAATTTGTAAAACAATAAATTTGATATGTTTATGAAGGGCTTAAAGGCTTTGGCATAGCTAAAGATATCACTTCTTTTTATTTTGAATCTTTCTTTTTACATCAAAAAAAGCAATAATATCATAACCACAACATTTTTAACTCGTCTTTATATACAATATTTAAGTACCCTTACATACAATAATATCACCACCCACCTAATACTCAAAATAACCGTTATACAAAAATTTAGGTAACAATTCTCGCAATTCATTTAGCAATCTTGGATCTCGTAATTGCTTCTTTTGTTCTGCTTTATCTTCGATCACTTTGGCAAGATCGCCATCTGCATCGGAAAAAGAATAACTAAATATCAGGAAGGAGAGTAGTAAGAAGAGACCTTTGGAAGAGAAGAAGTGTTAGTTGGAAATTGCATTAAAATAAGAACACACCCACACATACTCACCCCAATATCTATGTTTTTCTAGTTCTTGCCGAAACTCAACATTTGTCGGTATATGTCCACGATATTCCGATTTGCGTAGAGTTTCTTGGAAATTTGTAATATAGAAATACAACAATTCATCATGGTGATCGCGTCGCATTTCCGGGCTATACATCATTGTGAATGCATAATGAAGATCTATTGCCGGCGAGCCAAAAACGCTGATCTGATAATCGAGCTGGGCAATGAGAGTGAGAGGGAGAGAGAGAGAGAGATAGAAAGATAGTGAAAGAATGAAGTATAGAAAAGTATTATAACATCGCACAATTCTCACCAGCATAAGATCTCTCAGCTTGCCATCACTATTTTGAATCATTACATTCTTCATATGAAAATCGCCATGATTAAGCACAAAAATGCCGTCGCGCTTGGCGCCGCTGCTGCCTTTGTTGAACATTTCGATGGATTTAGGTAGCAATAGGTGTTCCACCGCCTCAATGTGTGGTATAAATTCACGCAGATCGCTGTGCTCGCTTATGACCTCTTTCAGTAATTCAATGCCAATCTTGATGAATTCGAAACTATTCGGATCTATGGAATTCATGGAACCTTTATCCATTGATGTGATGACATTATCGTTCTAAAATGTTGGCGTGCATAAAAATTGCTTAACTTTTATTTTAAGGATAATTTAAACTGTTTGCTAAATATTCAAAATTTAATTTTTAATTAAAAAAAATGTATATTTTCATTAATTTTTTTTTTTTAATTCTTTTACGAAATCTTACTTCTAGTCCCAATTTGTAGCTGATCGCATGCAGTTTCGCCAGTTTGAGCAAAGCTGTTCTCACTTCTTCCAAAGACGTATGGCGATGTCCGATTGTCGTATATCCTTTCAGTGCCAAGTCTTCGAAAATCACATATGAGGGAGCCGTTGAGTTGTAGGCGACGAGTCTTGAAAACAAAAAAAAAAAAATAAATAATTTAATGTAGAAGTTGTAAAAATGCAACGGTTCTAAAAGCGCTTTGCTTAAATTTCTATATTCCGTCATACTGTCGGCATATGCTGAATTCTTCGTTATTTCATTTTGAAATTTAAACTCACTTTGGTCCCAAAACAGTATCATCACCACACCGTCTCAATAGCTCCTCAATCTTCGGCAATACCTTTGTGTACATAATGATTTCCGTTTGAAATAAAGACAAATCACCCACAATATCCTTCTTATAACCATCGGCAAAAGGTTCGACTTTCAATATAAAGGACTGCTCCCTTTCCTCTTTAGGCTGCGATGGCAGAGTGTAATTCACTTTGGCGCGAAATAGAACACTAGCGTAGTGATCGTTTTTCAATGTACCAGGTCGGAGCAGTAAATTCGTCACCTTTATGTTGAAAATCTTTAAAAAATGAGTTTCAAAATCTCAATCACTATTTACACACCGTTGCATTTTCAGTTCCGACATTTTTAAGTATTTTTTCAAAAAACGTCTCATTGAGCCAATCCGGCGGATTGAGTTCATCCTCATTGTACAAATCATTATTGACCATTTTTATTTTATTGCTTGATACCCAAAGGTATTAAATTCCAAAATGCAAAATTATAAAATTTTCACTTGCCGCAGGCTCACTCACTCTCGCGCTCTGTTGACAGCAAAGAAAAACAAATCCAACGACGCTTCTTTTTATACCCGCACGAGCGTTTGCTTTGAGCTGAATGTCGTTTTATACTAAAAATACTAAATTCTTTAATTTATTATATTCACTCTTATCATATTTAGTTATGAGTATTTCGACTGCGCTATTCATTGCATATAATTTAAATAATACATACATACATCGTTATTTTGTTGTTCACGTACACTCATATTGCAAATTCACATCGCAGCAGCTAGTCATAAATACGGTTGTATGTAAGCCCACTTAACTACTTCTAGGTGCAATATACATACATACATGTTTATATGCACAAAACTATATACAAACTTGTATATATATTGCAAAAAAAGTTGCATTAATAAAAGAGAATTCAATTGTAACTTAATTGTTTGCAGTTATCATTTCAAAACTATAGCGAAGAATTTTGCTCTATTAAACATTGAATTGTTTTGATCAAATCCAAAAATAACTTAAGTGATTTTTTTAACAAAAATATCTTTTCTAATGCAAATTCTAATACAAGAAAAAATAAAACCGTATAAAATAAAAGTAAAATAAGATAAAATAAAAATAAAAATAAAATAATATAAAATAAAATAAAATAAAATAAAATAAAATAAAATAAAATAAAATAAAATAAAATAAATTGAAATAAAATAAAATAAAATAAAATAAAATAAAATAAAATAAAATAAAATAAAATAAAATAAAATAAAATAAAATAAAATAAAATAAAATAAAATAAAAATAAAATAAAATAAAATAGTATAAATAAAATAACATAAAATTAAAAAATAAAATAAAATAACATAATTTAATATCTCGATTACTAACTAATTATAGTTCGTTCAGATATTGTAGTTCTAAAATAATAAAAATTAAATGCGTGTTAAGAACGTTTTACCTACGTCAACGGCAAACTCTTAATTATACTCGTATATGATTCTTTTTAACGCTTATCTCTATGTATATAGTGGGCAGATGCCTAAGTGCTTACGTTCCTAAGTGAATATGTATATATGTACATAAACTTGTAAATCATATCTGTAAACTTCTGGATTATAGTTTTTAAGTTTAGTGGGTGCTTAAATTCATATACATATGTATTCGCATATGCACATATATATATAAATATTTATGTACTATTTGCTAGTATTCAAATTTGCTTTTAATTGTTTTGCTTAATGAAACAATGTTTGATGCGTTTAAATTTATTCACACTTCTTTTCGGGTGCAATTAGTTTATTGGGATGACGCTTACCTTTATTAAAAGATTAGAAAAAAGAAACTTCTTTTGCAAAAATGATTCAAAAGTCACTATATTCAATATCTGGTATCTCGATTCCTCTCTCTGGCTTCTTTGAAAGTTTTAACGTAAGTCTTCAGTTTTTCCCGTATTCTCGTTTATGTTATATTGTATATGTTCCAGTCCAATATATGTACATATGCATGTACATTCATGAGTTACATACAATTACAATTATCTGCACAAGTATACATTCGTTTATGTTGCGTGTCTTAAAGCAAATAAATTTCAATATTATTAAATGGCACGTGTACAAACACATATATATGTGTATGTGGGTGGGTAAATGTACAAGCAATTGCCAACTGTCACAAGCAGCTTAAAATAAATCAAAAGCAAAACATATTTTTACAACAAAAGTATAAAAAACATACACACTCATAGCGACCCCATCTTATATTGACATAAATTTTAGCGCACAATCAATAAATTTGAGAGCGTAGTCTCTCAATGCTTTGTTTTCCTCCCTCCTTATTTTACAAGAATCCTACTAAAGTACCATTAAATAATTCATCAAAGCTTTGCTGCTTGGAATTTCAAGCATTTGCTTGCTTGTTGTTGCTATTGTTTTAACAAGTAAGCGTCATAAGAAATAATGAACGATTGTCAAAACTTGGGGAAAAAATCTGATGCCAACGTTGCCCTTTCAAATCTCAATAGTGTGAATTGGTCTCAAAGTTGGGGGGAATACAAAAATTGAGACCCTTAAAACTGTGAATTTCATTTGACAGTTATGTGGTGTCCATTTTGGCAGCAAATAATTTGTGGAAGATAAATAAACTCATTTATTTAACGGTCTAAGTGTGAAGACTTAGAGCATTGACCCTTATTTGGTTGACACTTTTTGTGACAGCAAAGTTTAGTTATTTTTTTAAGCAATAGCTGATATGTTTTAATCCAAGGAAAGGCACAACTCTGTCGTCATCTTATAGAACAATGAGTCGTTTGCCTCGGATTTTCCAACATTTCGAAAAAGTGCTGCAATCAAATTTGGTTTTCACGAAAGACGTGTTAACTAGGGAGAGGTAAATCGAATAAAACTGATGAATTAAGAAAAGTTAAGGTTTTCGACACCAGTGAATATTGATCGGCCGTTTTTCCTTATGTTGCTTAAGCATTTGACTAAGTAAGCCTTGAAGGACCAAATCAAACAATCATTATCCAACACACTTAAACAATATGAGTACTTAAATCCTACTTATCCAACAGGCAACTCACTGTAAAAGCAAAATAATATTCAACAGAGTAGTATGCAATCATTATTGTATATGTATATTGACACAAGGGCTCCTCTGAGGTGACCATTAAACCGATATGGTTGTTTGGAATCCAAATAGTGGCGTTGGCATGGAATGTTAAGATGGTTAGCTTATCATAACTATCAGTTTTATTATAATATTAAGTTTATTAGATTATTATTAGATCGGCCCCACTGTTCGGGATATTTTTCAGGTGCGAATGTTATACACAGAACACTCGCTCTAATTTTCAGGTCTCGGCGGCCAGTGGTTTAAGCTGTGGGCGAATCTTCCAGTATCCTCTACTGCCAACAAATGGACCGCTTGAAGGCAGCACTCATCCAGAAGAGGCCGTCTTTGACCAACAGAGGCCGAATTGTATTCTCTCAGGACAACGCCAGGCCACACATGTCTTTGGTGACGCGCCAGAAGCTCCAGGGGCTCGGACCTGGCGCCAAGTGTTTACCATCTTTTCCTGTCCATAGCGAACGTGCTTAATGGCCTCAAGAGAGGCTTGTAAAAATTGGCTCTCCGAATTTTTTGCCAATAGGGACGCAGCCTTCTACGAGAGGGGTGTAATAAAGTTGCCATCTCGTTGACAACAAGTTTACAAAAAAAAAAAACTGCGCATATTTGACTTAATTCGGACAAATATACACAAAGTTATCAAACAACATTTTGAAAAATAAATAAAAAACCGAACGAACTTTTTACTTAGAAGGATTTCATTCTACATTAAGATCAAAAAGTCTTCCGAGCTTTTTTTTTTGTTAAGTTGGTAGCACTGTCATACCAATTCACCAGGAAACTTGCTGGTCTTAATGTATTTCGGTATACACACTTCTTGGATCACAAATACAGCTGTATATAAATACAAATTAGAAATTTGAAAAAATTGCGATAATTCCGTAACCAAATGTGGAACCCAAATAATGCCATAAAAAAAATGAAGAAAACTTTGATAAGTTGGTAAGCGTGGCAACACCAACTTTTAGGTCAAAAAGAGTATCTCAGAAACCACTTAATAGAGGAGTTAATTCGATAGACCTTCATAACTTTTTTTCCAACGGTGCAGCGACAACAACTTCGCCTATACCCAGTGAACCGGCCTCTTTACTTTCCACCGCCCACTTGACTCACAATCGAATATTTGAGACATAACTCAACAGTAATTAACTTGGCAGGTATGCCAATTTGAATGGAGACTAAAGCTCTACCAAAAGTGAGTCCAACAATAAACTGATCAACTAACAATTGTTATTATTATTTTTATTTTTTTTTAAGAAAATCTTCCTTTGGTTTCACTTTTTATAACTTTTGCTAATTAAATTTCATGTGTCACGGTATTGGTTAACCCGTTAATTGATTGACGTAATTCAAATTGTTCTAATTGCTGTGAATTTCTGTGAATTAAAAGACTTTAGATTTTAATACGGCGAAGAAAAAGTGACAAGCAACGCGAAATTAGGTCAAAAGTATCACAAAATAACTTTTATTTATTTTTTTATTCGAAATCTAAATATATAAGAAAATCAATTATATCTAAGAATAGCTCTTAGTTCAACCAACCATGTGATATGCATACATATGTACATGCTTACCTCACATGAAAATTCTTGCGGTGGTATTTAACTAGTATTAAGCTGATGCTCGATTATTGAGTCACAGCTGGACGACCACAACACCTGCGGGTTGAAAAGAGAGACAGAGAGAGAGAGAGAGAAAGACAGCGAGAGAGAGAGAGCTAAAAAGGGAAAGAAGACTTAGTTTCAGACAAAAAATAAAGAGGCTGAGATGCCTGACTATGAAATGCTTGGGAAGTTGGATGGCACCGAGAGAGAGAGAGAGAAAGGTAGTGGGGGAGAAAGAGCTGAATAGGGAAAGAAGACTTAGTTGCAGACAAAAAATAAAGAGGCAGAGATGCCTAAGAATGAAATGCTTGGGAAGTTGGATGGCACAGGTAATATACGAAGAATCACAGAAGTTTTCAAGGCGGCAGCATACTCATGTGGGACCCATAAAGGTGAGGCGCAGCAACGCTGGTAATGAATGAAACAATTTTTCTGATTCTCTATGCACCTATACTAAAAAAAGTGTCTTAATTTTTTTTACTTTTTCATAAATATTTTCTGTGCGATGAAACTCACTATGAAAAATTCAAAACTATTCGCACCCATAAAAAGTTTACAAATTTTGAACAAATTAAAAATACAGCACTTATAATTAGAATATTCAATATTCATATAAAACGCCTGTAGACTACCGTTAATTAAAAGTAAATATTTAGTAACGAACGAGGCAGCGGTTTTTGTGGCTTAAAACCAAATATCGACAAAAACAAAAAAGAAATTCGAAAATTAAGCGCACTTTATTTAAACACTCCCATATATACATACATATATATATACATATATATATATTATATATGCATATATGCACAGTAGATAGTAAAATGTTACACTTACAACAAAAATAAAAATCACTTTGCATAAATACAAA